ACTGTGACGTATAACTCTTTAATATCTGCTTATTCTAGGGATGGATTGTTGGAAGAAGCAATGGAGCTAAAATCGCAAATGATGGAAAAAGGGATCAAGCCTGATGTGTTTACTTATACCACTCTATTGTCAGGATTTGAGAAGGCTGGTAAGGATGAGTCTGCCATGAAGGTCTTTGATGAGATGAGAGCTGCAGGTTGTAATCCAAATATCTGTACGTTTAATGCCCTTATTAAAATGTATGGCAACCGCGGAAAATTTACAGAAATGATGAAGATTTTTGATGATATCAAGACGTGCAAATTTAGTCCCGATATCGTTACATGGAATACACTTCTTGCAGTGTTTGGACAGAACGGCATGGACTCTGAGGTATCCGGGGTTTTCAAGGAAATGAAAAGAGCAGGCTTTTTAGCTGAGAGAGATACTTTTAACACTCTAATCAGTGCTTACAGCCGCTGTGGGTCTTTTGACCAGGCCATGACTGTCTACAAGAGAATGCTGACAGCAGGGGTGACCCCTGACCTCTCTACCTACAATGCTGTTTTAGCAGCTCTGGCTCGGGGAGGGCTCTGGGAACAGTCTAACAAAGTGTTTGATGAAATGAAGGATTGTCGATGTAAGCCCAATGAACAGACCTATAGTTCCTTGCTTCATGCCTATGCTAATGGCAAGGAGATTGACAAGATGCATGCTCTTGCAGAGGACATCTACTCTGGTGTTATTGAACCTCATGCTGTGCTTTACAAGACGCTCGTTCTGGTTTATAGCAAAAGTGACCTACTTGCAGAAACAGAACGGGCCTTCCAGGAGTTGAGAAGAAAAGGTTGCTCTGTCGACATAACGACTCTGAATGCCATGGTTTCCATATATGGGCGGCGTCAAATGATCAGAGAGGCAAATGAAATTATTAATTTCATGAGGGAAAGTGGTTTTACACCTACCTTGACAACTTATAATAGTTTGATGAATATGTATAGCCGGTCAGCAGATTATGAGAAATCTGAAGAAATGCTGAGGGAGCTTTTAGCTAAAGGAGTTAAGCCTGATTTGATCTCATACAACACAGTGATAAATGCATATTGCAGAAATGGTCGAATGAGGGATGCATCTCGGGTCTTCGCAGAAATGAGGGAATCTGGGCTTGTTCCGGATGTTGTCACATATAATACATTCATAGCTAATTATGCAGCTGTCTCGATGTTTGTTGAGGCAATTGATGTGGTTCACTACATGATCAAGCACGGTTGCAAACCAAATGAGAGCACATATAATTCAATTGTAGATTCGTACTGTAAGCTTGGCCGGAGGGATGAGGCAGTGGTGTTTGTTGGTAACCTTCGCGAGCTTAATCCCCATATTTCTAGGGAGGAAGAATGTAGATTGCTGGAAAGATTGAAGAGGTGATTATGGAGCATCTCCTGCTGCTTGTGGAATCGCCTTGCACACGTTCCTTCTCGTCTTGCTGTTTGGCTGTTTATAGCCTGCTCCAATGGAATAATGAGCGGGATGGCATGTTTATGTATAGAATCTTACCCGATCAAGTCATGTTGGACTAATACTTGAGCTTCAGTGCTCATTAGGATGTATAGCTGGCATTAATTAAGCCTTTGTAAACCCATAGGAGATAGAATACTCCGATGCAGGGTATGTACAATTTCGTTTCAGTAATCAAAGAGGAGATTTGTGAATCAATCCAAGACTTTTGTCATTTTTCTGCAATATTTCCTGGGGATACCATACGTCGAACACTTGAATTCTCTGGGAGAACATGGTCTCAGAAGAAGTGGGACACCAAATAGTAAATCAAGATTAGGTACAGCAAAACTACCGAAATCTGGACTTGGAACATGCCGTTAATGATTGACCGAGTGAACGTTAAAAAACCTAATGATGAACTCTATTCAGAATAAAAAAGGTCTAATTCCTACCCTCCATTCCTTCCTTCCATCGCCTTTACAGACTCTATACATACATAAATACTTCTTCTTCTTCTTCTTCTTTAAAAAAAAAAAAAAAAAAAAATCAGATCACAGGTCCAACTTTGGACTTTTCTTTCTTTCATTTTCTTTCTTTATTCTTCATTGAGGGAGCCCGTTAGACATTTTGTTACTTGTAAAGCAGTCTAATCTAGACTTTTTGTTGTTATTGTTGTTTTAATTAAATAAAATAATATTAGCTCGTAGCCTTTGTTAAATTCAATTGTTGGCGTTGGCAAAGCAAAAGTTAATAGCAGCACCTAACTATCTCTATCATTATCTCGGGAAGCCGGCAGCCATGTAAGTGGATGCATTATCTTATTAAACCATACAACAATGCAAAACAAATTTGTACCCCCCGCCCCCGTAAAAAAAAGATGAAGAAAAGAATAAGGGATAATATTAGAAACCTCCCTGAGATTATTCTCCTAAAGTTTTAAAAATATCACTTATCTCCCTTACTTTTGTTATTTGTGTAACAAAGTTTTTAAAAACTCTAAACTACCGTTTCACTTACTAAATAAAAACATTCGTAATCCACTTTGTTCACTTTCAAAAAACCATCACCTCAAAAACAATTTCTTATAGTATTAATAATTACCATATCATAATGCTATAACCCATAAAAATATAAATTTGAAAAAAAAATACACTTGTATCAATTTAACTTTATATACTCAAAATCGATTTCTTATGAATTTATATATATTTTTAACAGCTTCTCAACTCTTACTCAAATCATTAAACTGTACCAACTATTATAAAAATCAACTTAAAATAAGCAAATAAATTAGACCCCACTTTATAACAATCACAAAAAATAAAAGATAAATAAAATTCAATTTATTATAATTTACAAATAAAATATTGCATAGTCATCCAAAAATGCGTAAGAGAGAATGAGAAAGAAAAGGAAAAATAAGAAAGTGACTTTTGTTTCTTTTTTTTTTTATTTTTGAGCTCCATTTATTTAATATGTTGTGAATTATGTGTCAAGTAAGGATTAATATAGTCTCTTTACAATAATTAGGGATGATAAGTGATATTTTTACAATTTCATGAGTGTCAAGTAATATTAAAAGAAACCTCGAGAGGTTTCTGATACTAAAAAGATTAACAACATTCATTCCAGCCCACAAAACAAAACAAAACAAAAGACTACAATCGTCATCATCATTCATTACACATTTACGCCTAAAGAAATGGGGCATTCGATTGATTTATCAGCGCCTGACTCCTGACTTCACCGCTTTTGTCACTCAGCAGTCAGCATCGTCCGCTTCTACACGTCTTCGCCCTTGCCACCAGAAACAAAAGACTTCCTTCCATCGCCTATACAGACTCTATACAGACATAAATACTCCCCACACAACAAAACTCCATTTCATTTCATTTGCATTTCGCCAATCCAAAAATGAGCTGGTGGTGGGCTGGAGCTATTGGCGCTGCTAAGGCAACTTCCTTCTTCATTTCTCCTTCTAATTAGTCTCTGTCTCCGCATTTTCCTATTGCTACCTCCATCCATTAGATAAGGCTAATTAATATCCCCCCGCGATCTTTATTCTTTGTTCTTTATTTTTTGTAATTCGGTTATTGATTGATGTATCTTTTCCAAATTCGAACAGAAAAAATTCGAGGAAGATGATGCACCGCCCCAGTATCAGAGCGTGGCCCTAATAGTTGGGGTCACCGGCATCGTGGGCAATAGCCTCGCCGAGATCCTCCCCCTCGCCGACACCCCTGGAGGCCCCTGGAAGGTCTACGGCTTGGCTCGCCGCCCCAGACCCTCCTGGAACGCTGATCATCCCATTCACTACATCCAATGCGACATCTCTGACCCCCAGGACACCCAATCCAAGCTCTCCCACCTCGACGATATCACTCACCTCTTCTACGTCACCTGGGCCAACCGATCCACCGAACTCGACAACTGCCAGGTCAATGGCAACATGTTCAGGAATTTACTCAGCGCTGTTATCCCCAGTTCCCCAAATTTGCGGCATATTTGCTTGCAGACTGGGAGGAAACATTATCTTGGTCCGTTTGAGTTGTTTGGAAAAGTAGGCCATGATCCTCCTTTCCACGAGGACTTGCCCCGCCTCGACGTCCAGAATTTTTACTACACTCTCGAGGATATATTGTTTGAGGAGGTGCAGAAGAAGGAGGGATTAACATGGTCCGTTCACCGACCTGGAAATATTTTCGGATTCTCACCTTATAGTTTGATGAACATTGTTGGAACCCTTTGTGTTTATGCAGCTATATGCAAGCACGAAGGCGCGCCGCTCAAGTTCCCAGGGTGCAGAGAAGCCTGGGACGGGTACTCTGATTGCTCGGATGCAGATTTGATTGCTGAGCATCATATATGGGCCGCGGTTGATCCCTACGCAAAGAATGAGGCGTTTAACGTGAGCAATGGAGATGTGTTCAAGTGGAAGCACTTCTGGAAGGTGTTGGCTGAGCAGTTTGGAGCGGAATGTGGGGAATATGAGGGGGGACCGTTGAGCTTGAAGGAGATGATGAAGGATAAAGGACCTGTCTGGGACGAGATTGTTAGGGAAAAAGGGTTGGTGCCCACTAAATTGGAGGAGGTTGGGGTTTGGTGGTTTGCCGATGTTGTTCTGCAATATCCATGTTTGTTGGATGCCATGAACAAGAGCAAGGAGCATGGGTTTTTGGGATTCAGGAACTCCAAAAATGCCTTCATTTCATGGATTGACAAGGTGAAGGCTTACAAGATCGTTCCATAGTTTGGCCTTTTGTTTTTGAGTTTTGTGATGTTTGATGTGTTCTTAGATATGTTTCTTCTCCAGTAGCTTGCTGTTTAGAAAGGTGAGTAATGATGAAAGATATTATATCTGGCCACGAGGTTTTAGTTGCAATGTGATCAGTTTCCGCAATTCGTATCTTCTTTCTTTGTTACCCTGCTTTTACTCTAATTGCATGCCCTGATGAATCTGCTCCACAATATGGCCTTGACTTTTTGAGACAATTATAGAGAGACGTATCAATAATGGTAAGTGCTAGAAGCAGAACAGAGGCTAAAATATCCAAGTCTGGTATAAAGTTAAACAAAGAGTAGGAGAAGACAGCAGAACTAGAATGGCACTTTGAACCCCCAAATCTTACACTGATGATGATATGCAATGTACGAAGGGAAAGAAGGCCATGGATGTAACTTTCACTCCCATTACCCTGTGTGTTCTCAAGCAGGATAACATCCTGAACGAATGATCCTAATGCAGAAGATTCCTCTTGCATTGGAGAGTAACACCCCATATCTACGCAAATGCCATACTCAGCAGTGCAGTGACAACCAATTTGATTGCCTCTTGCAACGGACAAGCTGTCCAAATATTCTAGAGTGCATCAACATCAATAGTAGTGGGGGTTCAATAATTTGGAAAGCCACCACAACTATTGACCTTACCCAGGAAATAGCTTTGTTAAGCGTGTGGACAAACACTTGTACATATATACAAAGCAGCATAGATGGAAAGGGAGACTTTCTCAAACAAGATCACCGCATGCTAAAGATTAAAATTTGATTCAATCTCTTCCTTCCGGGGTTGAAATCACAAAAGGTTGTGCTTCAAAAGAGAGGTTCAGAGTTTAGAGAGGAGTAGAGCCAGCTCCTCATCAGGAATTTTAACGTCAATGCATGCTCCGAGGGAAGCAGCTAGTCTTGCAGCTAACTGATGCTTACACTGAGAAACAGCAAAAAAGGGACAGACTAGATGCTCTTTTAACTCGTAGTATCAAATTAAGCATAAATATTTATTAACGAACGAATACTAGTAAACTTATGTAGTCAATAAATAGAAAAAAAAAAGGGACCAAAATGAAAATGGTTCATATTCTAGTAGTAGAAAAGAAACAGGAACTCACACAAAGCTGTTCTCCCCTGTTAACAACGTCATAGAAGAATGAATAACAAGCACAATAGTGTTCCGGGAAGCACAAGTATTCTTCTTTCCTCCGCGATTCTCCCAGAACCTGATCAAGAAACGAAATTAAGGGTCATGAAAAATGAAAAAAAAAAAAAGGTACATTTATTCTTGATTAAATGAATAAACAGGAACGAACCTGAAAAATAGAGCGGCCGCTGGGTTCACCAGAGATTCTCTTGACTCCTCTCTGATCGACTATCCTCGTCGCTTTCTCCAGATTCTTGCCGAACAAAAAATGCAGTCTACAGACAGAAAGGCTCACATCCATCAACCAATATTAACAGACAAAATTGAGAAAAAGAAACACTCGTTGACTCACTCACGTTGAGAGCTGATCATCCGTGACTGCCCAGATTCACAATCACATGTATAAACATCTATTGTTAAACAATATGCAGTCCAGAAATCAATTTATAAAAGAAGAAAAGATGAAGAAGCATTAGAAGACATAAATGAAGAATTGGAATGAGAAGGAAGCAGTGAACCTGAACCCCTTGACTCAATTTCCTTCCACGCTGCTTCTGCAACCAAACTGCTTGTGTTCATTCTCGGAATGTCTAGTCCTCCCCACTATCTCTATCTCAGACAAACGTCCCGCCAAGGGCCAGAACGCAATGTCTAGTCCTATAGTTAAGGCGCAGTGGCCCAGCACTCCATTTCTCTTTCTTTTTCCATTTTCCTCTCCCTCTCTCTCTCTCTCTCTCTCTCTAAATTTCTTTCTTTATTTGGGTTAATTTTCATTTTTTTTTTAAAAAAAAAAAACATATCTTCCCCCTTTTGAGTGGTGGCAGCTCTTGTGGCAAAATGATTTCGGAATTAATTTAGTACTCCCAACTTCTTACTTTAGATTCTAATTTTCTCCCAACTTCTTGTGGCAAAGACATTATTCTATTGGTTTCGCAAGAAAGATTTCTTAAACATGATTCGGTCGCACGTTCTGCATCTCCGGTGCTCACCTTCGTTTTGTAATACATTTTTTTTTTTTTTTTACTATGAGATCATTGCGACAGGGTAGAACTTGTTCAATTATATTGGCAACAAAAAAGGTTAGTATGTACCAAGAACCCCCAAACAAAAAAACAATCGACGTAGTAACATATAATAATTATTTTCTGTAATGCAATCCATTATTTGTCTCCAAAACCAACTCTTATTTGTCTCCAAAACCAACTCACGGCACGGAAGAAAGAACAAAAAAATGATTGTATCCAATCCGGATCTGAAGTTAAGAAAATGCTAAGCCGCTACACCACTCTTCAGTCTCATATCTACAACGGCGAACTGCGTCTTCCTGTATACCTACAAATTACATTTTTTCAGTTCAGACTTCAGATGTAGCAGTATGTTATTAGTATACCGCCCTTATCTGATTGTCCTTGCTCAAGAAACTCCTGCCGTATGCGTCATCCATTTCTTCATCCGAGTTAGAGGAGAAGATGTCCACTGGAGCGCTTATGCAGCCAACAGTGCCTTGCCTTTTAGTAGGAGACAATTTGCTTTTCTGGTGATCAAGATAAATTACGACCACCGTGATATCATCATGGAAATGCCGCCGAATTCCCTTTTCTATCTGTGTCATGTCCTTGTACCTCATCTCTCTCTTCTTTGCAGCCTCCCGCAGGGCAGCTCCAACTAACCTTTTAGCTATTCCCTGCAAGTATTTCACCAATACAAGGAAACAAAACTCAGTTTTACCTACACCAAAAAAACATTCCGAAACATATCAATGTTCCATCCAAACTACTCCATTTATCTGTCCTGAAATTATTCTAGATCATGCAATCAAATCATCGATATATCTCGGTGATCTAAGCGTAGCCGGAAGGAAAGACAAACTAAGCTTGAATGGATTAGTCATGTTCTGAAATAACCTCACAAACAATCAGTGCATCAACACTACAGACAAATTAACTTACTGCTCTTGGATTCTTGAATACAATCTCCACAGCAGCCTCATCAGTTAGGTGCTCCCAAAGGCCATCAGACGCAAATATCAAGAACAGATCTTGCGGCTGGATCTTTTTACAGATTATTGAAGGTTCTGCTGTTAATACCGGTCTCCTTAGCGGAACAGGATTTCCAAATTGCTGGAAAATTGGATCTCTGTTGAACTCAGGTTTCTTCAGATAGACGTCACCAATAGATCTTGACACCTGAGATGCACAGGACATATGTTTTTGTATCAGCAATTACATTGAAGTCAATGAAAATTTGAAACAAGAACAAAATGACTTAAAAAAAAAAAGCAGACATTGACCCCAGTCATTGGCATTGGATCTAGCATACCTCTTCTATGCTACATCAAGAAAAATAAAATATATCTTACTAGCTTCATGAACATCATGGGAATTTATGGCCCTCATCTTCTGATATGGCCAAGATATAAAGGAAGACCACTATATATTCACTGGAATCACAACCCTTGTGATACTTCATGGAACATCTCATGCGTGGAAGACATGCATGCTTCAGCTGCATGAGACGGTGGCAAGGGGCAGAGCATGTGATTCCTGGAAGAATGGGGAAGGCAATGACCCTTAGAACAGGCTAGACCATGGTTTCTGATGCTTTCCTTTTTATAGGCAAAAGGCAAGAGGAAAAGATAAGAAATACCATAAAAATTATAACGAGACCTTTACTGCTTCCCTGATCCCTAATGTAGGCAAGAGACGCCCTTTTCTCCCAAGAAAGAATATGAAGAGGAATGTGGTAGATAAACAACCAAGATGAATAATATACAATAACTCAAATGATATCAAGATCCACCAAGCAACAATGTGTGTGTGTGTGTGTGTGTGTGTGTCTATATATAGGCACTATTTCCAGCTTCAATGCTTTTGGAAGGAAGCTTTATCCCTTTGGAGATTATTCTGCATCAGCAATCCAAATATCAAAGACTGAATAAAGCTCTATTCCAAGAAAGCAGAATCATTTGCCACATTTCACCATTTTTTGACAAGACCGTAAACAATTACGCTTAGAAAAAAGAAATTAGACACTAAAACACCAAAAGTAGTAGATCGTAGAGAAGAAAGCCATTGCCATCCTGTCCATAACAAAATTTCTTTCATCGCACATTCTATAAAATTTAAAAGAGATGGTTTGGTACAGAAACAGAAACCAATTTCAAAGTTTCGAGGTCAAAGATAAATCATTTCTCTTATAAGACATGAAAAGGACTAAGCTAATTTCCCTTATTGGCCACAAAAAAGCCCCTAGGATACATAAAAATAACCTCTCAAATCTAATAAAACTTCCCACTTAATTACGAAAGTTTGATAAGATAAGTATACAAAAGCAGGAAGAACGAGAAGCAAAGTTGAATTCACTTATTAAGCAAGTCAAAGGAATGCAAATTACCTGAATTATGCCCTTAATTCTCCAGACTCCGCGACAATAGATCACTATGGGAGAATCACCAGGATGTTGTGCTTCAACCTCCCTCCTCACCTTCTCGCACGAAACATTATGATCTGTTGTTAACCGCTCAGCTACCACTGAACTACTTTCACCATCAAAACCTCTTCGGCCCAAAACAGCTCTGGAGTCCCCTAAATTTGCTACATACAGCTGGTCATTAGAAATAGCGCCAACAAGACAGCATGAGCCAACCGAAGCAATCTGTGGCGTAACCGCCAAGGATCGCTTCACTAATTGGGTAAAATCCTCTTCTGTAGCACTAAATGCCTTCTTTATCACATCCGCTGATAAACCCCCTTGCTCACTGGCAAATTCTACAAAAAGAGTTTCCCACAAATCACGTAATTGAATAGTATAACACAGCCGGAGGGAGCGAGTCTACAAGGAACATATTCCACAAACCATCAAAAGATTATTTTAATTTCAAGGCAAGCCGCCACCATCAATCAGGGTTCATTCACAGAATTTGACAAGGGTCGCTTGTTCCTCGTATTCGAATGATCGATAGACTCTCCCCGTCACCATTCACCCCACCCTTCCAGCTTCTTCCTTGCCAGTTCCCACCCCACCCCTTCTAAAATTCTATTTTCACTTTTATGCTTTGGCAGGGAGAAAAAAAACCCAATAATGAAAAATCTTACAAAGTTACCAAACAGACACAGACATAGACACGGAGAAAGCATGCATTAGCAACTCCAAAAAAGAAAGGGGAAAGAAGATGAAGAAATGAAAAAAAATTGAGAAGAACAAAATGCAACATACTGTGTAAATAAGGGAAGAGGTGGCGGTTAACGAAGCGAGAAGCTTCAGGGCCACCGTGACCGTCGTAGACGCCGACGTAAGTGGCGGAGGGGGAAGTGTAAACTTGACTCTGGTCCTCGAGACTAGAATTAGCCTGGACAACGGCGATGGAGAAGTCACCGGAGGCGTGGGGCTTTAAGTCCATGTGCCACAGCAGCTCATCTCCTCCTCCGCCTCCGCCGCCGCCGCCGCCACTCCTCCTCCCTAAACACCTCTCCAACGGCCTATAGCACGATCGCAACATCATCTATCAAATTCTAGTCCTTACGTTTGAGGTGGGGTTTTTGGCAAGAAAGATGAATACTAGTACTAGTCGTCCTCCTATCCTATATCAGGAGGAGGAGGAGGTGGAAGCGAACAAAACCGGGAGCAGACCGCGTAGGAAAGGAAGAATAGTGAAAGACACGCTGAAGCGGACGCGTTTTTCTACTTTTATTGCCGATACGAATGCCTTTTTCTCCACTCTACACTTCATTCAAATTATAGTCCATTCCATTCTTTGATTTCGGTCTTCTTTGGGCTTTTTCAAGTTCCTTAATAAAGACTACAACTGGCCCGGGTCTCAACCATCTTAAAGGTGCTTTAGAATTTTCAAATTCTGTTGAGTACGATACCCTTTTATTGGTCCAGACCTAAAATTTTGTTTTTTTTTTTTTGGCACCCAGACCTAAAATTCAGTATGCGCTATTAAAGAAAAATTTTTTTTTTAAATAATTAGAAAAACCTTAGTGCTTGGAGTTGTTGGAGACTTTGGGTACATATATGATGCAAGCAAGCAAAATATACTACTATTATTTGATAAAATTGAATTATCCAAACACACCCATTTATTGCGACTAAATTAAAACAAATCCAAATTAAAAAAACCTAAAATCTATCTCATTTCTTTAAATAAAACTATAAATTAAAGGAAAACAAATGACCCCGAGAGTTTGGAATTTTGGATATCTTCGTAGAGAAGTTAGATGGGAGGCGGAAAAGTACAAAGAAGCGGAGGAGAAGCAGAAAGAGACTAATTTGTCTAAATATTATAACTCTTCAATATAGACGGGGTCAATTGTGGTTCGCTCAGTCTTCGGGAGGATCCATAGATCGAAGCTACACAAGTTTTTACCCATCATCATTAAGCATAATATGTATTTATTCATTAGTATTTACTATTAACCCTCCAACTTGAGAAAATAAAAAGAATTACTGCTAAGTCTCCAATTGTATTCGGTAGGCAAATCGGTGGTATTACCAGCGTTCTTCGCCTTTGTCTAGCCGTCAAGCATGCCAGATAGACGTAATGCCACTAAGGTGGCTGTTAGACATGATTGATTTTAAGCAATTAGTCACTGGAAATTGCATAGTTGGGCTCCAACTTCCAACCAACCAGGAGTTCGTTGCTGGGGTCAGAACATAAAAAGTCAATTCAAATTTTCCATCATGTCTGCCGATTTTCTCAGTCATGGTTGTATTTCAAAACAGCGCCCATTACTGATTATACTACACTCTTTCCTTTTTATTTTTTTTAAAAATTTTTTTTTTGGCTTGAGTGGTTATGGAAGGAAAACAAATTTCTATTTCTAAAATAAATAAATTATAGAGGTGAATTTTGTTGGTGAGTGGTGACAGATTGAGATAATGCTGCCAAAGCAGTCGCCCATTGTACTTTGACAATAGGGAGTACCCCGGTGTCGTGTCATTTATGGTTCAACATTAACCAACATATAGACACCATGTCACTTCATGGAGGTTGACTGTATTCCAACTCCCAACAAAATATATAGGAATTTAGAAAAAACAAAAAAAAAATTGATTCCCTTTCCTGATGTCCAATTAATAAATTCTCTGAATAGAAGAACCTTGATTGTAGGGCAGGGCAGTGCATAAGCTGTTCTGCTTGGTAATATTCCGATTGGGGGGGGCAGCTTTGAAAGTTTAATCAATGGTAGTAGTAGTTAGGTCAGGTGAGCGGGCGGTTGAGAAATGTGGAAGGCGCCAAATATCCCTTGCCCTTAATAATATAATACTAGTATAGCCTTTCTCGGATGACTCGACTCGAGTGATCTGTGCTCGAACTTTTCATATCTGGGCAATTTGCAATCGACAGTTCATCTGTCCTGTTCCTGGCCAGTCGCAGTCGATTGGTCTGCCGCAAGAATTCTGAAAATATAGCTTATATGATTAACAGCATCCCACCATCAGCGGCACCGCCCGCTGTAACGAATTTCAACATTTTTGGTGCAAGGAGGTCCGTATTATCAACCTAACAATAATATGAGTCATACGAGTGCGACCATCCCCACAATTCCATCCAGGAAAATTAGTACTTGACATGCGCTGCCACCTTTTTATCACTTGTTTTTCTATATACATGTGTCGTTGTCATATTTCCTTATTCATATATTTTAAGTGTAGAGTTCATTTACAAAAAAAAAAAAAACGATTGAAAATCACAACATATTTATATGATAAACATGAATATAAGAATATGTAAAATCAAGAGGTTGAGCGTTTGTATCTGTCGTATCATGTTTTACTCACGAATATTTAGACACTTCACGGATATCTAAATTGTGATGATGGAAATAACAATTAATGAAGTTTTTCTTTAATTTCTTTTAACACAAAAAACGAATATCTAGAATTGTGATGATAGAAGTAACAATTAAAGGGGTTTTCCTTTAATTCTTTTAATAGGAAAAGTATGAGATTTAAGGAGTGAAGAGGGAAAGGAAATTTTATATATGTATGTTAAAGTTACACTACCTATAATATTACTAGAAGAACCCAGTAAAAATAGGGGAAAACAGCTTTTAATGAAAGTTGACATCTACATTTTCACAGAGCAATTCAGTCAATGACTTGCTGAAAAATGGTTCCTCACTTATATATCACCACCAAAAATTGTTTACCAGCGTCTGTCCAAAAGAGTTGAGATGTCAACTATTGGGGAGGATCACACCCCGTGGCCGACAGGCTATGCAATACTGTACTTGGTGTTGGTGTAACAAAAATCAGCACGAACACTTGGCATTGAAGATTTCGACTGTCTCAGCTGCTACAGCTACAATGGCAATGGCAGCAGGAGGAACACAATTATATATTGTTGGGGGCACTAACAACATTGCGTTACAGTAAGTGGGATTGCTGCAAAACTTGATTAGATTTTGGTTACATGCATTGCACTTTATGCAGAAGTAGGGTAGGGACAGTCATCAAATCAAATCACTGCAGGTTAACGGTCGACCTTGTTTTAGTATCAGCTAACAACCGTTTGTGCCCCAATCTTTTTTCTGCCTACACAACCGGTGGCCTGGTTTTAGTGTCAGCTTTACCAATCTTAAAAACGCCACCAATGCAATGGCTCTTATTGTTTGGTCGATCAATGGGTGGATGTGACTCATTTGTCTGTGTCAGTAGCCTGCATTACATTAGCATTGTACCCGTGCGGATTGCTGCATCAAACAAGTTAACTGCTGTATGCTGTCAGCTTCTGTTTACTGTCAACTTCTGTGTCTTGTAAATGTACCAAGAAGAATACTCGCTTAAATTCATCACTTGAGCGTCAATCAAGGAAGTTTTCTTCTCTGAAGCTCTCGATGTGAAGTTGCTTTTGCATAGTTCTTTCTTTATGTGTCACATTATCAGAAAAACAGGATAAGAATGTTCTTGGTTAATCGCGAATTAGACTCTCTGATCCAAGTGAAGACCATGCTCAATTGTGGTTCGTCAATTTCACGATGTCCCATTAGTGACTTTTAACATGTGATTTTAGAAGTGTTTTGCTTTGGATCTTGTGATCTTTTTCCCGAGTTATAATCTTATACTTTCCTCATTTGTCATACATAAGACAAAAAGTTTGATTTAGGTCAGGCATCAGGGGGTTCTGCCACTCAACCTGACCAGCTATGCCAGAGGCCATCCTGACTCTGACTGCCCCAATTGCAACTTCAGGAGATCAACGGAATGGTCCTCATTCATATATACCACACGCCAACCTCTTTAATTTGATTTCAGATTTTATTTGCTATATAGAAGGTCAATTTGATGACAAGAAGGAAGAAACATATAAAGTAAAACTTTGTAATCTTCAGGTATTATTTCAGTATTTCAGATTGACTTGATAAACATTTACAAACCATTAGAGATGATCTTAGTAGCCCAAAGCGAAATGCCAAAAATAAAAGCCATTAAGTCAATCGAACACAATCAAATTTTGGAGTTCTTTTCTGTGAAGGGCGGATCTCATCAGTTCCTCTGGTGTTGGAACCATCCTCAACATCTCCTCCGGCGTTGCGAACTCACCTTTTCTCAGCCATGCATTTGCCCAACTATCAGAAAATCCCTTAACAATAACCAAACCATTAAACTTCTTTACCTGTGGGACACTAACGCATTCTTTAACATCCCAAAACACAATCTCCGGCAATTTCTCATACCCTCGACTCTGATACTTACGTAAGCTTGCCCACGTTGCCCAAAAATTATTTGCAGCCTTCTCAAAGTCCACATCAGTGAAAACACATATCTTCTTCACCATCCTATCCAAACTCATATTTCCAGCAACTGCAGCTTCTAGAACTTGATCGAAAACCTTGGAAAACCCATATTTTCACATTGCCTCAATTTTCTCATGAACTCAATCTTTGATCTCAGATCACTTCCTTCAATCCTGCAAAATACGGGGTCAGTGCCGAATGTGAGCACTTTTCCCTTCCAAGGCTCGTCACTGATTTCTGAGATCAGCAACCCCATACCGAGAGCAAAATCCATTGCTGCATTTCTAGTGCCTCCTGACACATTGTAAATGGCCAAACAGTTTCTCCATTCTTGTTTCTTGGCACAAGCTTCAACTATATTGCGCCATCGAATCTCTACGGTGTCATATTGAACGCTTTCATCATTCAAGCAGGCGACAATATGACGAGGACCAACCTTGCTTCTACCCTTAGTGTATATATCAGGCAAAATTGTTAATCTTTCTTCACTGTCTCCAGTCAAAAGCCTTTTGTCCTTTTGATAAAGCATGAACAGCTTTTTACCTAAATCTTTCTTTGTTGTTGGCACTGTTACTCGGTCTGCTCCAGCTCCGAGGGCTTTGCGGAGAGGAACAAGGACTTGTTTACGGAAACGATTTCGGACTCTATAAGCATAGTGGGTTTCGTCAATCTCCTTATACTCCTCATCAGATTCAGGCGGAAATAGCTTTCTTGCAATTCCCTCACATATCAGGGTCGATTTATCACAAACAGAATCAAGAGAGGGACATAATTTGGAAGCCATACTAATCTCGTCAATTCTTCCCGAGGCCAAAAACTGGAGATCATCCCTAAGAAGATCAGCGAACAAATTTGAAATTTGATTGTGCAAGAAACGATATTGCGCATCATGTACGTACTTCTCCAGTGCTAATCGAGCCCTGCTGATATCTCTCTGTGTCTTCAGTATTGTGCATGGAATCTTATCTGAATTCTTGATATCTGCCATTGTTCCCGAACCCTTAGAGGGGTCCAGAATTCTGCATAAGATCTCAAGCGTATAGTCTAAAAGCTCTAAACTCGAAAATATGCTAATATTGCATGCAAGAGTTAGGTGATGATGCTGGTGAAGCCACAAAATTGCAGGCAAAAAGGCTAGTTTGTTAGAGTTTCCGAAGTTGAATATGATTTTAAGGGTCGTCAGGGGGTTGTGCCTCCAAGCACTCTCTAGTAGAATGGGGAGGTTTTGGAGCGAGAGGTCACAGAAAAACAAGTCCATGCAAGGGTTTCTTGGGGATGTTGGCTTTTGATCAATTGGGGAAAGGGGCCTTTCATCTTGAACAGACAGGTTATGAATAAATGGTGGGCCAAGAAGAATGGTTGGAGGAGCCATACTGGCTTCACAACTCGAGCAGGAGCAATGGAATCTATTTATAGGGGGAGGATTTCTTGGGCAGGAAGCTGCAAAGTCCAGGGAATAATATGGAGTAAGGCGGTGATCACACTGCGTTAGCTTACTTGTCTTTTGGGCTACGGCTCGCTGTACCAGCACTTTATTTGCCTAATTTTTCTCATTTCCTTCCTACCTTTTCTGGGTGAGCTTACCGGCAGTTAAGACGAGTTCCTCAATTCGTTACATGGCATTAAATTCAATTCATCTTTTACCCGCTCCTGTTGAGTTGCCTCATTTCAAACACACCCTAAAGGGCCTAAACAAAACGAAAACGAAAACAAAAGCAGAAGCCAGATTACCCAAAAGATTGAACAGGACTTGAACCAACTTTTCCTTCTTTTTTGTCTGCTAATACGGAGATGGCCGATGTACGAGGGAATTTCATTTGGATTTTGGACATCGATGGGCGCTTTTTGAGTGGTAATGTAGCTGTGACCTAAATATGGACTTTATATGTTGATCATGTAACATTTAATCGGCCCCCTACATGCAAATTGTTACCGGCTAGCATGTCGTTATACTAGAATTCATGCATCCTTCCGACGGCTTTGCAATCTTTTTTCCAGGGAAGAGCCTGAGGTGCATCATATTTTAACGGTGTTTACATAACAGCGACCTAGGAGAAAACTGCAGCAAACCAGATAAGTGCTTCATTCTTATAATTGCAAAAAGATAAATTTCAACGTGGATATTACAAGTAATTAAGATTCGCATATAATACGCTCCCAGTTTTAATTCTTTCGATATACTTGGACAATTGAAACCAGGTTAACTCACCAAGTAATGGCATAGACACATGGAAGACGAAAGACTTGGTGAAAGGAAGGGAGACTTGATACACAGGAGGCATAATGGCAGCTCACAGGCACAAACAAAAATCTCCAGCTGACATTACTGGCAAATGGGAAGATAGTAAGGACTGATTAGTTAGCATCCTGGAACACCGGATTCCATTTAGTCACTTCCAAGATGAAGCAACGGCTCTGACCTATCCCGTCATCCAAAACTTAACCATGGTATGAGATCAAGTTAATAGGCAACAGATTACACTCATTCTTTGGCTCTACGACCAGTAATTACAACAGCTTTTCGACAATTAGGGCAGTCCCCACAGATCCGCACCCAGGGATCCAAGCAGCAGAAGTGGAACCTATGCCCACAAGTTAAAAATATCAGCTTATCTCCCTCCAGGAAGCTCTCAAGACATATGCTACAATCCTCTAATCGCCTTGCCGTTACCTCTCCATCACTGTTATCAGATTTACTGAATATCTCAACTTTCAAACTGTCTAGAGCCTCTTGAGTGAGTCCTGGAGGTCTCTCGGACTTTTCTGTGGAAAGGATGTCAGTGAAGGAAACTGATTCAGCTAGCCACTCTCTGGAAATTCCATTATCCCAGTCCCCAACATCAGCAAGCCTAAAATCATCCTCGACAGCAAAGTCATTGTGATGAATGCTTGATGAAGGCCGGTGCCTTTGCCTACAGGTAAGACAGCAAAAGTCCAAGTAATCTGAATGTCAGAATATCTTTCACTACATGCAAAAAGAAACATATAAAGCAGTGTCTACAAAACAAAATTTTTCTTTCCACACGTTTCGCTGTTAAAGCATATGAGACAGCACAAAAGGCACTTGATCTGCAAAATAAGTTCACAGAAACAAATAGGCAGATTCTGTCATTCTACCAAATCTGCCTCTTCCCTTTACACAGCACAGCTGTAAGATTTCCAACTAAACTACTACATGATTTGTCAGTGGACATTAAAGCAACGGAAATAAAGTAAAAAGTTCAAAAAATAAAAAACAAAAGCAGATTGCTTAGGAACAATACGGCCAAAGTTCTTTAAAAGTTTTACAGTAAGATACTTAATCTGGAGACTAGAAAAGGCCAAAAGGAAGGTCTTCTTCATTCAGAAAATTCCAGAAGAGGCCAAACAAAATGGGAAGTAGCCTATCCTGATGAAGCAAATGCTTGAGGTGTGCTAAATTGCTCCCCAAAACCATACCACAGATCAATGTCGTCAAGATCTTTTAAGTGAACTTTCTGCATGAAAACATTCTATTCTGAATGCTTTAAATTTGCATCTGTTCCAAAACAGTGTTGTCACCCTGACAGTTTCATGTAATCCTCTAGCATCCAAGAGAATTCATATAGGGTGGAATTGCATTTATTGCCAATCTACTGTTATCCTTTCCAACTAGACATCATATAAAAGAAACTAGGAATCCCCAAGCAAACAGAATCACATGAACAAAATGGGACTTGAGAAGGAGGATGAGGATTAAGAAGATGGAAACTGGAGCACCCATTAAGTTAGTCTATACACACAAATGATAAATTCTACTACTGCATATCAAAATATATTGTCTATTCTTGTCTAATTGCTGGTTTATTAATTCAAATCCAAGGAAAAATTTTCACAAGTCAAAAGAAAAATTGGAATGCTTAGGCCCTAGGTGCGTATATCAAAACTGAGAACCTGTGACCATTTTTCATAAAGGCCCTGCATAAACTCATAAATGAAATTACCACCACAATAAAAAAGAGCTCCTAGAAAAACAAAAGTTGCAAACTCAAAAAGCTTTGCGGATCAAAAGTGGGAGAAATAACCTATTTGCAGATAAAGAGACTCCTCTCAGCCTCTGCAGAAGCCTCTCTCTTGCAAGAAGCACAGTTCCCGGAAGCCTATCATTACCAGCAGACCTCAGCCCACCCCTTAAGGCGTCCACAGATTCAGAATTGTTAACCTCTCGTAAGGCAGAAGGACTGCTACCTTGGTCCAGCCAACCTGATTCATGATCCTATGCACAGAAAGAACTTAAGCATAAAACTTTCCAGCCAGCAAAAAGATTTTATTGGTGTTGGGGAATGGGATGTCAAAGACTGGCAATGCCCTTAAACAAAAGAATACAGGGTCACCCTCCTCTTAATAAGTTGAAAGTCAAGGAAAAAAAGCACACAAACCACCTGAATAATGCAATTACGTGTCTAGAGATTACACACAGTTACAGCTGCCTCATTCATTTGTACCTCATATTTTTCGGCAGATTAATTAAGTGCGGAGTAAGTACACAGGCAAGCAAAATCCCCATTAGACAGAAACTTCAGATTGAAACCTGCCAAAATAATAAAGAAAGTGGTGTTTCATAAAGTTGTACATTCAAACTCTGAGGATAATCACACTCCTATTGCCAGGTGCTATCAAATCCACATTGAAAGGTTTCGTCAACTGTTAGAGAATGACCGCTGCTCAAACAGCATACTTAAGTTGAGCAAGTTGGAATCAAGTAGCTAGCAAATTTATTGTGTTCAATTGCGGTCCCACAGTGTAGAAGGTTATATTAGAACTGCTTCGATGTGGAATTCAAATTTGCAGGTGCTTTGAACGTCAATATCGAACAACAAAGAGGAGGATTCCTCACATTAGTTGAGGTAATGGGTCAAGCTTGCCCCCACCACAAGGCACAGAAACCTCTCATGGTGTGCCACTAAACTGAGACCATTAAATATTACAAGTTACAACAGACATCAAGTAAGTATGATTACACCGGCCAAAAGCAAGTGGACCACCATACCACTTGCTCATGCTAAAATCAAACAAATTTCTCCCTCGATAAATTAGTAGTCTACCTAATTAACTAAAAGCAAAAGTAAAAATTTTTAACTCGGAAGAAAAAAAAAAAGAAAGAAAGTTACATAAAAACACGTCCTTGATACAAAAGGATATCCACCAATTTGTTCGACATTTATCCAGTTTTTTAGCATCAATTCGATCAATTATAAACATAAACTACACCACACAGACACATCATGTATAATTTATAAGAAATAATAAAGTAAAAGTTAAGGTATCTCATACAGGAAGAAGGTGGCGATGAGGTAGGTGATGTCTAGGGTGAGGAGGGCGCCGAGGGAGAGGATCACATCCTTCAATATCGAGGCGATTATGATGATGACGTCGTGAATTAACACTAGTAGTAGGAGTGGTACCGTGATGGTGATTGACGTGATCGCGGTGGCGACGACTATTAGGGTGAGGAATTCGGTGAAGATGGGAGGAGGAGGAGGAGGAATCAAGCGGCGGCTCCTCTCCTCCTCCGTCTCCAAGGTCGAGGAGGCTGCTGCTGCTTCGACCAAAGCGAGACCTCCTGGCGTGAAACAGCTCCGACGCGCTCGTCATGCAAATGCAATTCAATCAATTTCCACCAGCCGGAGCAATAATTAAACCGAAACCTAGAAACTTTATGTTACTCCAATTAGCTTTTGTACAATTCAAGCTGAGATGCGGATAAAGAAAAGTGGTTTTTCAGATGAGGAAACGATGAAAGAAGTTTGAATCTGATTGGGGGAAATTTTGGGAGGAGTGGTGAAGCGAGATGATTGATACAATACCCGGGAAAAAGTCGGGAAGAGAGCAACAGAAGAGAGCCGGAGCCGGCGTACAGTTTCCCAACGGAAAGTTCTAGAATTTTTCTTGCAAAAACGACATCAACAATACTTAATAACTAAAAGGCACCAACAACTAAAATTCTGGATTCTAATCCTCCTAATTCCTCCGCGTTTCTTAAATCCCAACCTCTTCTGGATACAACAAGCAATTGGATCTGTTTAATGCTAGTTTGGTCTCGAGAGAAATCACTGTGGATTTCCGTCTAACAGTCCAGAGGAAAAACTTTTGTTCAATAACAAGTCCGTTAACTGAAACATCATGTCATTTATCCTATTCCTAGCTTGGGCTTGCGACAAATCAATATGGGCCTCTGTGCAAATATATCAATAAAAGCCTTTGTCCAATATGTAGTCCGTTGAGAAGATTCACTACTCAACTAATACCGAGAATTAGGGGGGGCAATCAGGTCCAAACCAGGTTGGGGGGTCGGGTTCAGACTCGGGTATAACAAGAAATCCGTTGACCCGAACCTGACCCGTCAACCCGAAACTGGTTAGGATACCTAACTCGAACCCGAAAATTTCGGATTTACGGGTTAGTGGGTCGACCCGAAATGACCCGAAACTTAATTTTAATTTATTAATTTACCACTGTAATTTCTAATAAAACTAATTTCGCACAAAACTAATTACATAATCAAGTAATAAAAGTTTAAATAAATAATCCCAAACCAAATCTAAAATAAATTAAACACTGTAAAAGTGTTTTATCCCAAACCAAATATAAAATAAATTAAAACAGTATAAAAGTAAAAAATAATATAATACATTATTTGTCCAAATATAATAATTTCAACTTCACACAAGTTAAATAAATTCATTTAGGATTAAGTGATTAATGCCTTTGAAAAAAAAGAATAACCTAGTTTAGTTAGATAAAATAATTGTTATGTTTATTAAATTATTTTTAATTCATAAATGGGTTATCGGGTCACCCACGGGTAGACCCGAATTCGACCCGTTTCTTTTCGGGTTCATCGGGTTCAATCCCGATTCTGACCTAAACCTGCAAAATCTCAACCAAAATCCATTAATTTCGTGTTAGTTTTGTATCGTGTTTTCAGACCATGTCAGAAATTGCCACCCCTACCGATAATCCTAAGTGAAAATGTTGTGAGATCCACTGGATAATCTTCCTTGCGTTGGCTACCTTGGTAATTCCATAATGGCTAGTTTGGGGTTAAGGATAGAAAAGAAAATAAAAGAAATCTCAAGTCATGAGAGAAAATAAAGGGTTAAAAAAGAAGATAAGATATTTTAACATTATTTGAGAGTTATAAAAAGAATGTGATGACTTGGATACGAATATTATTAAAATTTTGGATTAATCTTCTATGCATTGACAATGTATATATTTTTCACCATTAAATGCATGACACATAATTCGAATTTGAATTTAAAATTTCATCCAAATCAGGTCGTATATTTGGGGGGAGGGGGGGAAGAGACTTTTGAAGCTACAGTTGTAAATCTGTCCAATTCCAGGCCTTTCCACTCTTTTCTATCAAAGAAACTCGCAAGCAAAGGAAAAGTTCAGATTTCTCTCCCTTTTTCTTCTTTTCATATCATATCCAAGCTCCCAAACAAACTGTGAGACCTCATAGTCTTGGAGACAACTCTGGGATCACGTGGTACCCTTTTCTTTATAGGATCACTCGATACTGGTGTTTCCATGCCATGTTGTTTGCATCCGCTGATGGAGTCGATACAATTGTCTCCAATCATCATATCGATTGTATGTAACATTAGAATAAGCCGGTGACAGAAAAAAAAGGTTAAATAAGCCTTAATCTAACAAATATAATAACCCCTGTACTTATACCTTCTTTCACTTTACTATTGCAACTCCATTTATCATCGCCTTCTTTTATACCTTTTTATATAGAGGTGTTAAGCACAATTTAATTATGTTAATCACAATTTATGTTTATCAAATGTGCTCATTAATAAGTGGAACTGAGTATGCAATAGATTTTGAATGAATTTAAATGAATATCTAATTAAACCCATTTAATGAACGGGTAATGGGTGGGCTGATTCCGTTTATCCATTTATACTCATTTTAAAATAATTATATATTTAAACTCAAATTTTAGTAGGTGTTAAGCAAAAAAGTTTGAATTTCCTACCAATCTAATGATAATAAAATGTAATTATTTATTGTAAAACAACATGCAAATTTTTTATTTTTTTTTTAAAAAGAGTAGAATTTCAAGTGAATCATAAGTGGATAATTGGGTATACTCATATCCATTTATTGAATAAGTATAAATGGATTGACTCATTTTGACATATTTATTAAATGAGTATAAATGGTTTTATCCAATTATACTCATTGCTCAATTATAATCCATTCAAATATGTTATAATCACCCATTTTGACACATCTACTTTTGTATCTTGAGGGTCAAAAGTGCCATTTAGTCTCTTTCTTTTCATTTTCTCTTATCGGTTCCTTTTTTTTTTTTTTTTTGGTTTTTATCTTTCCTTTCCTTTCTTTTAGAATAACTGATGGTGAGATTTTTTGTCCCAAAAATACTAAAATATTCACCGAAGTCCTCTTTAATACTTAGTGTTAGTACAACATTTTACGAGTTTGCTTCACTTACCAAGTGAAAATCAAATGTATAGCAAAAGGAAACAAAAAACTACCATTCAATATTCATTCGTACCACGCTCCATAGCAGCCAGGTATAGTTTAAGAAACAAATTTCTTAAAGCAAAGTACATCTTGCCTTGGCCATGATCATGACCTCTCGCTCCTGCAATATATCGGGCCTTATTATGGAAAAATTAAATCCACATACATATTCCCGTGGTTCAATTCACGTTGCCTAAATTTTGATGAAGTTTAGTAGGAATTTCACATTCACATTCACATTATAAACGACGTCAACCATTTATAGTGATTACCCGTCTTGATCCTCTCACTCCTCTTCCAACTTCCAAGCATGATTAAATAAGTTCACCATATAGTACTATGATATATATACCTAACTGTAGAAAAAAGGCAGGCACAGTAGCAGGTTTTGTGTCTGTCATTTGTAAGCCGTACGGGTTTCTATTCTCCGTACCACTCACATATAGGCTATAGCACGGCATGTGTCTGGTCAATGATGCCATTCCATAAACAGATGTCACATCCAAGAATTTGCAATAAGCATGACGTACGCAGAATTTTTGTAAAAAAAAAAAGATATTATAATGATTTGATAAAAAAATAATTAAAAAATATGTTCATGTAAAATATAAAATTTTTTTGAAAAAAAAAAGTGCAATCCAAACAGAGCCAATTTGCAAACGCTCGGAGGTGCAATATTAGCCTAGACTTACAAGATTTTGTTTATAGATTTCAGGAATAACTAAATATTTATTGTAGTAAACATGCAACTAAAGATTCATTTTTTGGACTCATCCAATGGTATAAAATTATGCATAAGAGTACAATATTTATTTTTTTATTTTTTTTGTCAAATATTTATATTTTAATTAACATATACATTTGGCAAATAATTTGTACACAATCAAACTGTCAAATGAATATTTTGTGGACTTGTAATTCACATAAAATGGACATGTAAAAAAAAGTTAAATATTAATAAATACCATTTTCTTACCCAAAAAAAAAGCAAATTACATTTAGTAGAAAGGAAAAAAATAACATCATGTAATATATTTTAGTTTAAAGTTCATCATTGTGGAAATAGAAAGGACAACTGTAAAAATTTCAACAATTCTGATGGCCAATTGCGAGGCTAGAAGATAGACTACCAAAATTCAGTGGAGGCAAGAGTGAGATAATATTATAATTCTTAAAATTTTTATAAGCTATATTAGCCAGCCTATTCTTCTTTTTTCCGAAACGGAATAAGCCCACACACACCCAAACAATGAGAGACACGCAGCAATCTAAAGCCTTGCTTGGATTGAAGGTTTTCGTCGGAAAATATTATCGTTTTCCGTGATCACATTTCCCTATCACCTTTTTCCCTCACATATATCAAATCGCTACAGTAATTTTTCCATGAAAAATGACGGAAAATGCAATCCAAACACAACCTAAGCCAGCTTATTTTTTTTACCACGCAAGTTAAGCCAGCTTATTCGATCATGCACTTGAAGGTTACAACTGAAGAGTTCCAGGTCTACTACATACTAGTACCTAGCTACATCAGTCGTCATACATACATGCATGCATATATACATACATATATGTATGTATGTGTGTATATTAGCACGAGGACGATGATGATGGTATGATTACATAGTTATATACGTACTAGTTAACAGTACATGTCGGATTCTGGTTTGTCAACTCCATCTACGTTCCTCAGCCAATAAGTAGCGTCACCAAAAGAAGCTGCGCCGTTTGGAACGTCCTCCATTACCCTTTCGTGGCCTTGAGGATAGTATATCCCGCTACGAGGATGCGGCACCCACCAAGACGGCTTCTCCGGCTTCTTCATCATCTGTCTAGCTCCAAGTCCAACACATTCTCTGTGTTTGTTGCTTCGTAGGTTCTGCCATTCTGGCTGTCTCTCGTACGTTGCCCAGCTGCTGGTCGCCAATCCTGCTGCTTGCTGCATGTAACTGAAACAATATGCCAGGAAGCATGTGAAAATCAAAATCAACGCACACTAACAACTACTGATATAAATGGGAGGAAACCAATTTTGTTCTTTTCTTTTAGAGAAAGAAAAGAACATTGGAGAGCTGTATATAGGTTTCTTTCGAGTCGTTTCTAGTTTGTAATGAGTTAAACGAGTTAAATACATATATATATGTATTTTCCGACTGCTTCAAAGACATATCCTACTACTGTATATAAGCTCTGACCTAAGTTGTAATTTCTTGTTCATCCCAACCACTCTAGCCATGGCTCTTTAGATAAATATATAGATAGCTGATAACTGACACGGGAAGAGAGTGAGTGATCGATCAACAATAATAATGCAGCACCTGACTTTTGACGATGAATGCCTGATTAATTCACAAGAACACCATAATATATACCCAACCAACCCAAGTGGAGGCTAGCGAATAAACAAGCCATTTTCTCAGTGCTATGATCAAAGTGGAATCAATTCCCTAGAAAGTAGTAACTTACCTCTGGTGAAGGTTTAGGAAACTTTCACATCAATAAAGCAAAAGTAACAAAAACTCAGACAATATCATTCTTACAATCTGGCCTGACCAATCTGTGGTTCTTAACGTCCGCTAAGTTAAAGTAGAAATCACAAGTACAAAATATTGTAAAATTTTCTGTTATGGGATACCCGCCAAAAATGCAAAAATTTTGGATGTGGTGCTGACTCCGGGATAAAAATGCTCCAAGTATCTACACCAGCACTACTTGGTAGGCACAAATTAATCTCATCCGAAAATGAATGCGTCAAGAATAATAATGGGTCTCTTTAGAAGGTGTGTTTTTTATGTGTTTGTATAAAATTTTATTGTAAATTATTGTAGAATCAGTAAAAAAATTTTTGTGTATTTGAGAGTTGAGAAAAACATTTTTTCTTTTTCTTTTCTTTTTTCCTTTCTTCTTCCTCCATCCCTCTAATTTACTGTAGAGGGAAGAGAGAGGGAAGAAAGTAAGAAAGGAAAAATAAAAAATCGCTAGCGTTGGTGTCGACGCCGGTGGAGGTAGCAACTTAGAGCAGCAGATGGTGGAAACGGTGGTAGAGGGAGGTGTGGAGAGGAAGCAAAGGAAATAAAGGAAACTTATTTTTTTGTATGTGTTTGAGTATTTGATGAGTATATTTAAAAAATTTTGACAAGGTTTTTAAAATTAGTATAGTTAAAATTATTTAAAAAACGTGTAAAAAGAAAACTCAAATAAAAAACCTCCACCTTCCAAACAGATGCTCTGCATCATATATCAGATCTGATTAGAACTCACGCGGCTACGACAAGTCCTCTTTATTCGCTGCAATTTATTGTCAGTCATAAGAGAAGTTCTTCAGGTAGATTTTTTCTGGTGATTGACCAGCAACAATTTGGTTGGTAAATTGTACATCGATCTAACTTATTGCAGTACCACATATTTAGTCATAATTAAGGATGGCAACGGAGCGGGGTTAGTCCTAATTAAGGATGGCAACGGGTTCCCCCGCCCCGTCCCGCTTCACCTGCGGGGTCAGTAAAAATTTGTTATATAATTTTATTATAGTTAAATTTTAACAAATAATCAAATACTGAAATATTAACACATCACCAAATTATTATTCATTGTAATTTTACAATTGAATCTTATAAAAAAATCAAACAAAAGCTATTTGAATACAATCCAACATGATGAAATAAATACAACTAAATTAGTCAAGTTTTCACTTTTGGTACAAATACAATCACTAATTCATTATTGTGCTTGTGCTTTTTTTGTGAGAAAAAAATGTTATTGTATTAAGTATAATTAGGGATTTAGTATAAATGTATTAATAAATTTAGTATAACTAATTAATAATTTATATTGGTATACATATATAATTATTAGTATAATTGATAATATCAATTATATCAATTATATTACATATATTAATATATATAGTGTGTTTAGATTGTAAATTATGTGAGATAATTTTGTGAAAAAATACTGTAGCATTTTTTGATATGATGTATGTGAGATAAAAGAATGATTGAAAAATGTGTTGATGATACAAACAAATCAATATATCTAAATATGGCATAAATAAGGTGAAATAATGAACAATCCAAACACTATCATAAATTTGTAACTAATTAAATTATATATTATATACATATATATTTTTTAAAGTAGGTGGCCCACTCCCCCGCCCCGTTTACAAGCCCCCGCCCGGGGGGGGGGGTTCCTCCCGGCCCGTCCCGTTAGGCCCCCGCCATCCTCAGTCCTAATGGTAATATGGGATGGTAAGCTCTTCACCAGGCTAAATATTGTGGACAATCGATTATTATGCCTATTGATTACACATGTAGGTAGCGGCGGTATGTTGTGTGGCGCGCGCCTATAGGTTCGCACAGCATAGGTGATGACTGATTGGACACAAGCACGTTGCACGCAACCGAGTGAACGATTGCGGTTCGACTTCCATGTTATTTTCCTGTTCAAATTTTAATTTTTTACTCTAGACCTTTAGACGACAGGTCTTTGAATTTTATTTTTGGAAACTTTTAATCTAAAGTATAAAAATCATCTATTTTTGTCTTTAAATTTTAGATACTTTAGACATTAAAATATGAAATCTACCTCGTGGAACTTGTCAAAACTAACGTAATAGTCGGCGAGCGATGTTCGAAATTTAAGAAGGAAAAAATGATCCTTTTAAAACTTTTAAATTATTTCAATTAATTTAATTTAATTCTCCTCCATTTCTGTTCACTTTTGGGTAAAAAGCATAATTCAACGAAACAATCATACTCTTTCCCTCCCTTTCCCTTCCTATCAGGGTTCGCCGTCGCGGATCTCGGTCGCGTCGCGGACTCGGTTGTTCCACATCCGTCGCGGCATATCGGATGAATATCGGGTGATACATGCATTATAGCATATAAAAATTTTCAAAAAATCTGAAAAAATTACTAAAAATAGAAAATACCATAAAAAGCACAATTATCAACTTAAATTTACTAAATACCTACATTATCATATATAGTTACTAATTATTAAATAAAATAATGCTGTCATTACCATAAAGGCCTATAACATTAGCAATAAATGATTTTAGAATAAAGTGTACGTTCTGATTCTATTTTATATGAGATAAAAAAGTATACATAAAAATAAAATCATCATATGTTACATAATACAATACATAAAAATAAAATCATCATATGTTACATAATACAATACAAATCTCAGTACACAAAGGAAGTAGCGGTGTTTAGTTTAATACAATAAAAAAATAAATACCTATCAAATAATATTATGAAATGCAAAAACATAAAGAAGCAAGCATTTTCACCATTTTCACCCTATATTGATCCACTGCAGTGCCCAGATGATTGATCTCAATTTCCTAAAATATAAAATAATAAATATCACTGAAATATTAAAATTAATGAATTATGTACAACTCTTAAATTCTATCAAAAACAAAGTAAAAATTTACATACCTATTAGTACCATGTAGAATGACGAGGAGGTTCAAAATCATGCTCATCTTCCGACCGATTAGAGTAAGAATATGGCATTTGCATTTGATTTTCTTCATGTGAATGGGAAGAAATATATGAACCATATTGTTCATCTCTTAAGTTTGATGACGCACTAGATGAACCATGATTAAAATGTGGCAATGGTGGTGGATTTGATCCAAATTCGTCACCTCTATGGTAGTAACTGAACCCTCGATAGTGCAAACTATCATTGGTGCTACTGGATGAACCATAGTTGTGTCCATAATAACCAATGCTACGTGAATCAAATGCAGATTCGTCATGATGTATTCCAGTTGGCCGATTATAATATCCACCAGTAGAAACACTAGTGGACCTTTGAAGATGGCTAGGTCCACCATATGATCCAGTAGAAACACTAGTGGACCTCTGAAGATGGCTAGGTCCACCATATGATCCGTATTCAGAGCAATAAGAAGTAGAGCCTGCAAGTGATCGCTCAAATTCATGTCCTGACCACCTAGTACCCAAACTTTTACCAGAATCATAGACTCCATATGAATGACCTATATTTAAATCTTGCATGTGCTCATGAAATTCAGAATATCTCCTAGAATTTGAGTTGTAAGAAGAGTCACCTTCACTTGAAAATTCAGTTATTTTGCTCAAATATTGCCGCTGTGCTTCTATACCAGGACGATATCCATGATCAGTGTCTTGAGTAGCATAATAGTTATCATCTCCTTGACCCCATGACATGCCATCAGTATATTGGCTATCATGATAGTTACCACCACTACCACTACCATAAACATTTTTTGGTTGAGAATGTCTCATGTTCGCTCCTCCATCATCATCATCATTACTGCTGTCATCTTTTTCACTGCTAGAACTTTTGGTAGAGGAAGATGAAATGGATTTTGATATAACTTTTTTCTTCCCAGTACCCTTGCTTTTGCTCGTAGATGCTCGGTCCTTATGTTTCTTTTTCATACCAGTTATGAATTGGGACAAAGGCATATCATTATCATGATCACTGTCATGACTTTGTTCTCTCCCTTCACTTTCACTGATGGCCTTATCCAACCAACTCAAATCATTTTCATGAATCAATGACGGCTCATTTTCTCGGACCCACTCATCTAATATATCATTTTCATCAAAAATGTGATTTAAATCAATTGGATCATAAAAATCATCAGTGTCATTTTTGTACATCAAATTCTTCACTCTAAGCCGCATGTTGTAGTGCACGAATACCAACTTGTGCAACTTTTCAATTGCCAATCGATTTCGAAGTTTTGTATGTATCAAAGACCACGTACTCCAATTTCTTTCACAGCCAGATGATGTACAAGTTTGACTTAGAACTTTAATTGCAATATTTCTTAAATTAGGAGCTTCTTCACCATACATATTCCACCATTCAGCTATTAAAAACATATAACGTAAAAAAAATACAATTTTAGTTATGCAGATATAATCAGTATCATTACAATAATACTAATGCATAATATAATTTAAAGAACAAAATCATAGTTATGAACCTGGTAAAGATGCAGCTACTGCCTTAATTGCAAGTGCACTTCCAAACTCTCCAATTTTGTTCACGAATGTATTTATCTAAGAATATTATAGAGTTAGAATATTAATAATTTTCTTAAATTTATACAGTAATGCAAGTTAATAAACAATAGCTATTTTTTGTACCTCGTTCATTGCTTTTGCTTGCACTTCTAAATTTGGTTCAAGCCTTTTGATTACTTCTTTCAATCCCCTTCTAACTTCAGACGTGTTAAATTCACAAGTGCTGGAATATTGAAGAGCGGGATTTAAGAAATAGGCTGAGCCAATGACATAAAAAAAACCAAGTGAGTAAATTTTTAACACAAAATAATTTGTTTAAAAGAAATATTTATTTATAATTGTCAAATGCTTATTACCTGTTGAATGCAAGTTTCGATGTAACTGCCTATACCATCTGTCATCAATGACATCCCAATACTTTTCATAGTCTTTCACTGCACTTTGGATTGCCATTTTAGCCCTATCCATTGCCTCATATATGATGGGTAGTGTGGGTTTTTTATCCTGATCAATCACTTTTAAAACTTTCACTAGCGGCTCCATGATTGCACATACCCGTCGTACCTTTTTCCAAAATCTTTATGACAAAATCAAGTCAGACACTTCAGCAGCTTCTTCCCTTCTTTTAGAACTGCTATTATACTCCTGCCACTCATTTGAAGTACACATTCGTTTCAATTCGGTAGAATGACGAAGAAGACTTTCCATTGCAATGAACTCGGTAGCATATCTTGTTATGCCGGGTCGCAATAACTCTCTATGATTTGTATATGTCTTCATTAGGTTGACCACTTTGTCACTATTGTATATAAAACTGGTAATTCTCTTACCTTGTTTGATAGCATCCTTTATTGACTTCATCTGACCAATGTCTTCTAGCATCAAATCAATGCAATGTGCAGCACATGGTGACCAAAACAAATGCTTCCTTTTCTTCATCAGTTGCTCTCCGGCTGCCTTCATGCTAGATTCGCTATCAGTGACAATTTGTACAATATTTTGTTCTCCAATGGAATCCACAACTTTATCCATTAAGGATAAGACAAAGTTTGCAGTCTTTACCTTGTTTGTACAATCGATAGAGCTGTGGTATATCATGTCTCTATCACAGTACACCATGAAATTAATGATTGGATGCTTTGTCCGAGTACTCCACCCATCACACATGATTGTGCACCCATATGTTTTCCATTTATGTTTAATGGAACTAATGTATTGGTCAACATCTGTCATCTCCTCATTCAAATATTCACCTCCAATTTGTTTACCTGTTGGCCCTCTAATTCCAGTTTCAGCACTAGCAATTGTGTCAATCATCGATTGATAATAAGGACCACTATCAGCTGCATGAAATGGTATGGCATTAAAATGAAAAAATTTTGCAACTGCCTTACCAACTTTTTTGGTATTTTCTTTGGAAAACAAACTTTTTATTGACTTATTTTTTGAGGGAAACATGTATGGATCAACTCCTTTTGGCCCCAAAACTCCTTCCTTGAGTTTAAAACTCTGTGACAAAGCTCTTTTATTTCTAGAGGACAATAGATTCGGCATACTTGAACTGGTACTCCCTGCAATATAGCACATAAAAGATTATAATTTGTTTATTAAATAAGTCTTGTAATCTAAAAATGTTATATTAATTATTAGATATTTCTACATACATACCAGATGTAAAATCCATAGTTGGCTGACCTCCAGATATAGAATGCCTACGTTGCTCTTCCATAAATCTCATGTATCTACTTTCTTCCATAGCTCGCTTATATTGCTTTCTTTCCAAAACTTCCATTTCTTCTTCATTAAGCTCGAAAACATTATCATCTTCATCATCCTCATTTTCATTTAGTAGATTGATGGACGAAAGCAATGATTCTTTTTTCTTTTGTGTTGCAGCTCTTGCATTCTTACCTTCATTCAAGTGTTTCTTTAAAAGCTCGCTTACATCTCTTGGAGCTGCCGGACATGCCTCTACTTGTCCTGCTACATGTCCAATATGTTGTTTCATTCTTGTAATTCCTCCGTGTACAATTTTACCACAATAATTACACTTTGCAACCTTTCTGTCATTACCAACTGGAGTAGCATAATCCCAACCAATGTCTTGATTTGGAGCCATTTTATACTGTCCCTACATTAATTAAATAATTGTAGATGTGATGTTAAACATATCAATATGCATTATTTAGATAATAATAAAATTATTTTTTATTATCTAAATATATTAAATTTTTTCTAATCAAGTTTAATTATGCAAGGTAATATGCATTTTTAGATAATAATAAAATTATTTTATATTATCTAAATATATTAAATTTTTTCTAGTCAAGTTTAATTATGCACGGTATGATGCATTATTCAGACAATAATAAAGTTATTTGAAAATTATCTAAGTATATTAAATTTTTTCTAATCAAGTTTAATTATGCAAATCAATATGCATTATTTAGATAATAATAAATTTTTTTATTATCTAAATATGTTAAATTTTTTCTAATCAAGTTTAATTATGCAAGGTAATATGCATTATTTAGATAATAATAAAATTATTTTTTTATTATCTAAATATATTAAATTTTTTCTAATCAAGTTTAATTATGCAAGGTAATTTGCATTATTTCGATAATAATAAAATTTTTTTATTATCTAAATATATTAAATTTTTTCTAATCAAGTTTAATTATGCCAGGTAATTTATACTTTGACAATTTGCCCAATTCAATTTTTTGTTTAACTAACTGCAACAAACTATTTTTTTTAACTTTTTCTAATTAATTTACCTAAAATCATTTTAACCAACATAATTGAGATACATGAAAATAAATAAATTACATTTATGATCATTAAAATGTATCCAAATAATCACTACATATTTTCTAACTAAAATTTAGATAAGAGACTACTAATACAAATTAATCATATACTTAATAATATGTAAAAAATGTCAAAATGCATTACTTAAATTTACAAATACCTAAATATCATATCTGAATGTTAAATTAAAAAAATTAAAATTGATAAGTTATTTTGAAAGAAGATGCGGACCTTTTGACTGACGCTTGGGTTTAAGATGAGGAGCCTAATCTCTTAATTACTCGGACCAAAGCTGGACTTTACGTGCTTCTAATTTTTCCTTCAATTTTTCCCCATGGCTGGCTTCGGTACAAAAGCCCATCTTCTGTTCAGTGCACCGCACCTCACTGGAGTCTTCCTTCAGTTTTAGCCATTTCTTCCTTTGACTTTTCCCTTCATTTTTTTCCCCAATTTCCGTTTCTCACCTTTTCACCTCACGGCCACATAATGTGGAAATTGAAGAGCAGCCGTCACCTTTACTCTTTCTTTTGCTTTCCCTTTCTATAATTGAAGAGCCGGCTCATTGAACTCTTATTTTGTTCTCCAATGGAAATTTCTGCCGGCCGTCAACAGATGTGAGCCGCAGCCAGCCGTCAACAGATGTGAGAAATTGAAGAGCCGGCCGTCACTTTCTCTTTCTTTTGCTTTCCCTTTCTATAATTGAAGAGCCGGCTCATTGAACAATATTTTGTTCTCCAATGGAAATTTCAGCCGGCCGTCAACAAATGTGAGCTGCAGCCACACGTCAACAGATGTGAGCCGGACGATGACAGATATGAACCGCAGCCGGATGATGGTGTAATCGGTGTTTCGGGTATCGGTATCGGAACGGCAGGTGCCGTTCCGGTTATGACTCGGCCGAGTCATAACGGACTCGGCCGAGTTGGCGAACCATGCTTCCTATCCTTTCCTACCCTTCCTCAAAAATCAATTTAATCAACAAAAATGAAATCATTCCAATTCCCTCTCAGTTTCCTTTCCCTCCCATTTCCTCTATCCAAACGGTGCCTTAATAATAGATTTACTTGCACCTTGGTCTTTAAACTTTATTTTTTTAGATAATTTACCCTTTAAAGTATGAACTTTGTCCTACTTTTGTTCTTAAACTCCACTTTTGGATACTTTTACTCTTACGCACTGTTTGGTTTGAAGGAAAGGAAAGGAAGAAATATCAATGGAAAATAAAAAGGAAAGGAGAATAGAGGAAAATGATTTTTAACTATCTTATTTGAATTAAAATTTAACATATCTTTTTGTCATAAAACAAGGGTTAAAACACACTAAAAAAAAGAAATCTTATTCTAAGCTATATATTATATGAGAGACACAAATTAAATGTTGATCTAAATCATTAATTTAGGAGTTCCCATGCTTGTATCTATTGTCCATATTTTGAGTCGATTTTTCGTAGATGAACTTAAAAAAAAAAAAGAGCCTGGTCTGGTTTTCAAAACTAGAAACGCTTGCATAGTATTTTTTTGGTAAATAATAGGCATAAAAGGCTATGGGCAAAATTACAAGCCCACGAACAAAATCCAACCCAAATCTACCTTTCCAATATGGACTTGTGTACTAGTTGCGGTACATGGCACAGTCCAATTACTCTTTGCTTTCTTAGCAGTTGGAACCGAACCGTTCGAAACGCGTGTCGTATTTGCAAGCACCGTCCCGTATATTGTTGAAAGTAGAGTTGTAATCGAATTGAATTACTCGCGAATAATTCGATTAAAAACTTGATTTGAACTTGAATTGATTGAATTCGAATTGAGTTCGAGTAATTCGATAAGGCTAATAAGTCTAAGTCGAGTTCGAATATGCAGAAGTAATGTTCGAAAGCTAGTCAAGTCTATTGAGTTTTTTAATTTTAATTATTTAATATATTATTATTATGAAAACTACCTTTATGTCCAAAAGAGTGATTGAATTTAAAAAATATTTCAAATCTTATGAAATTTTTTAAAGGGCAATAATATCTTTTTACTCAAAAATTATTAAAAAAATGAAACTTTCTGACTCGAACTTAATAAGATTCCCGTTGACTCGAGCTCATGAGAGTCGAATTCGAATTCTGTAAACAATGCATTAAACTCAAACTTGAGTTCTAATAACACTACTTGCTCGACCTTGAGTACCCTTTCTACATGTCGAGTCGAACTCGAACATGACAATACTCAAACTCGATTCGAATCGATTGCATCACTAGTTAAAAGGGAATTTACTCTCCTTTTGTCCAGACATTTCAACATCAAAAGAGAAGGAAAAACTCCCGCCATTACCGCATTCTGTCATTGCCTACCCCGGCAATCCCAAGTTCTAATATATTTCGCCAGACAAAAAGAAAGAGATTTCGGAGTTGAATTAATTGGATCCTTCCAAACTAAGAGTCTTCGTTTCCCGTCTCTCACTTCACTCACTCCCAATACGCGAACATAGTCTGTGTGTGTGAGCAAAAATACTCTCGTCAAGAGTCAATTCCTCTCAAGAGTCAATATTGAGACCGAGGATAAATTTTAGCATGTGAACCATCATGAGTTCCAAAGGAAAAAGATTTCCGCGGTTCAAGGTTGCTTTGGCTTTCCCGGCTGTCGTTTTCTTATGCTTGTTTTTCTTCCTAGCTGGCCTGTTTGGATCCATTATCATTTCTCAGGTTTTTCTCTACATACTATTTGAATCGGTGCATATAAATTGAATATACTGGTTATGGTTTTTTTTTTAAATTTTTTTAAACAAGATACGATTTTGCAGGATTTGACGAGAATTGGATCCAGGCACACGTCTTTGAAATCAGTTGAGGAGGAAAAGGATGGTGGTGCAATGTCACACGGCGAAACTGGAGAATCTTGGGTTCGCCCGGTCCCATTCCAGGTAACTGATTCAATTTTTTTCTCTTTATCCGGCTTTTAGCTGCGTGTATATATTTGGATTTCCAAGTCAGAAAAAACGTTTACGTTATTAGAGTTGTAATAAGCTCCTACATACATGGTCTGGTAGATGTAATATTTGGAAATTCTAGTGTCAATACTGGGGTAATTTGGTCTGAACTCATGCTTGTAGTGACTAGAGCATCTACTATGATGCAATATAGGGGAAAGATTAAACACTTGCATCATCTTAAAGAAAAATACTGCACGCCTTATGATTATGAGGAAGGATTGGGGAAAGATTAAACATATATGTCACCTTTAAGCTAAATACTGCACTGCCTGCAATGGCACTTTAAATTCACTAGCAAGGTCCCGCCCCATCAATCTTCTTGAATCCAAAAGCTTATCCTGTATGTGACAACATGATTTTTTTAGCTTATTCCTTTTAATCTAAGGGAAATGGATTCTCTCCGACGACAATCTTTGAATCGACGGAAAAGTGCGCTACTGAATGATCTAGAGTGATCCTCTAATGAGAAGAGCACTGATAGTTGATTTTAGTAGCATTTTCAGATTCAGTCAAGATTGCCCATTTTAAAGTGGGGTAACTGTTGCGGTTCAGTCTGATCTGGCGTGAATGCCTAATCGGAGAGCGTTGAGAATACTTAGGTAGTAGTTTGAGATTAGGCCAAGGTTGCCCTCTGAGCGGGGTAATTGTTGTGGTGCAAGCATGAACTGTCAATCAGAGGTGACTTGACCAGGATAGAGGTCCAGTTGGCATACTCTGTATTTTCTGATTCTTTGGTCTGGTTCAGAATATAACTGGAATTATTAATTAGGCACATTAGGTCCGTGATGGGATCTTGCTGAGAATTATGATATCTTGGTTGATTCTGATACCACGAATGTCTTTGGGAATATGTCATGGTTTTACCAAGTGCTCCATTAAACGAGCTTTTGTTGTTAGCATTCACCAATGCATCAACAATTTAGTTCTATTCTGACTTCTAAATTGAAAAGCATACTATTAATGATGTGTTGTAAACTAAAATTTCAGACCAACACCTTAACAGCCAAATGGAATTCCCAAACTTGGAAATTCATCAACTTCTAGTCAGGTCAACTTTGTGTTGAACTTGGTTCATCGGATTTGTTCCGAAACTAATTGAATTGATCATACTCCAGAATTCATCTCAACCTTTGAGTGCAGATCTTGAGCTGGAGGCCAAGAACTTTTTATTTTCCTGGTTTTGCAACCGCCGCGCAATGCCAGAGCATAATTGAGATGGCCAGGTCAAGTATGAAACCATCCACTCTTGCTTTGCGAAAGGGGGAAACTGCTGAGAGCACCAAGGGAATCAGAACCAGGTCCTTGTACAAATATGTGACTGTTTATCTTTTA